GAGTTTTTCCCGTAGTATCATGATGTGCCGTTCTTAAAGCATAAGCTAATTCATTTATGTAGCCATCCCAGCGCTTGTGATGTGTGCTAACGTAAGTGCGAATTATTTTTACAATGTTTTTTATTAACTCTTTCTGCTATGTTAGCCTGTGGTCTATACGGAACCATTTTGATATGGCGTATATCAAGTCCATTGCATATGTTTTCAAATATTTGACTAATGAATTGTTTTCCGTTATCGCTAATGACTTTTATCGGTGCACGTATTTAATTTAAAATGTATCTGTGTAAGAATGCATCTGCGACTGTTTTGGCTGACGCGCGTTTTTAAGTGGAACAATTTCTATCCATTTTGAAAAATGATCTACTATTACTAAAAGAAAACGATTTTTTTATTAACTCGCTCTGGGGGAAAGGGACCAAGGAGATCTATGCCTAAAAATTTCATTCGGAAATGTAGCGCGAATGCTATTTAAGTACCCGGCCGGGGCTGTAATTAATATCATTTATTAACTGACATTGATTGCAGGACCTGACATACGCCGTTACTATTTTGTATAATTGCGGGAAATATACCGCCTCGCGTACCCTTTTTAAAGTCTTTTTGACCCCCGAGGTGGCCCGCTGTTTTTTTTCGTGCAACTCCTTCAAAAATGCTTAATCGAAGCGAGGCTGGGATGACTGGCTTATACTCAAGATTTTCGTTTGTTGTTTTTCGTATAGAATAATAAATTATCTATTATTTCATAGTTTTTTGCTCTATTTCTTATCGCATCGATATCTGTATGCTCAAAGCTTTCGGGGTCTTTCAAATAAGCATAGATATTTCCAAATTCAGGATCAGCTTTCAGTTCAGTAATAACCGTATCTCTAGAATCTAAAATTTTTGAAGTCAACACAGCGCATTTAATTTCATTACCTTCATCGTCCAGTTTTATACGAGAAAGTGCGTCAGCTACATTGTTTTCCTTACCCGGTTTATATTTTATTGTGATATTATATTCTTGGAGTTTTAAAGCCCATCTTATTAACCTGGGCGTTAGGTTTTTTCCCGAGTAAAGTCTACCAACAGCCGCATGATCCGAAAAGACTGTTGTTACTGGCGATTTGCCGAAATAAACTCGAAATTTGTGTACAGCCATTAATACGGCTAATGTTTCTCTTTCTGTAGCTGTATAATTCCTTTGTGTTTGATTCAATGTTTACTAAAAAATGCCAGCGGATGGTTATTTTGCATAAGAACCGCACCCACCCACGCATAGTCTGATGCATCTGCCGCAATTTCCAGGTTTTCGTCCCCCTCAGGGAATTTTAAAAACAGGGGGCATTAATAAGCGCTTCTTTTAATCTTTCAAAAGCTGTGTTCGCTTCCGCTGTCCACGTAAATTTACTTTTTTTCTTTTGATTACTAAGAGTGGTTCAACAATATTAGCGAAATTTTTATGAAAGATCGATAGTAAGAACATAGTCCAAGGAAAGACGAAAGTTTCTTGGCGGTGTTGGGCGGTGGGAAAATTCTTAATAGCTTTTATTTTTTGAATCTTGCGTTTCTATACCCTTTTTTGCGAAATTTTATAACCGAGATATTTAAGTTCTTTAGTTGCGAACTTGCATTTTGAGGCGTTAATTGTAAGACCGGCCTCTTTTAATAATTTAGAGTGGTCAAAATTAGCGAAATCTTTTTGAAAGATCGAAGTAAGTTCAAGAAAAAGACCGAAAGTTCTTGGCGGTTGTTGGGCGGTGGGAAATTTAATAGCTTTTATTTTTGAATGCGTTATACCCTTTTGGAATTTTATAACCGAGATATTTAAGTTTTTAGTTGCGAACTTGCATTTTGAGGCGTTAATTGTAAGACCGGCCTCTTTTAATAATTTAAAAACTGTTCGAGGTCATTAACGTGTTGTTTCAACGTACTACTCGTTATAATTATATCATCTAGATAAATTAAAGTTGATTTTCCTAGGACAGGCTTTAGAACAATGTCCATAGCTCTCTGGAATGTTGATGGGGCCCCACACAACCCAAAAAGGCATGCGTAAAAATGCATAAAGTGCCCGATTTTGTTATAAACGCGGTTTTATGTATATCTTCGGGTCTCATAGCTATTTGATAGTAGCCAGACGTTAAGTCCAAAGTAGACATATATCTCGTCGATTTGATCTGTCTAATGATCTTCGTCATAACCGGCAAAGGGTAAACTGGAAATTTAGTTATGCTATTTAGTTTTCTATAATCGATAGCAAACCTCCAAGCCCTTTATCTGAAGGAGGAAAACTCGTTCTTTTCCTACATAGTACGACTGGACTCGCGTACTCACTATTTATGGGCGTTATTATTTTATTCTTTAACATCTCCTGAATATGTTCTTCGATGATTACGTCTTTTTTGTTTGTCATAGCGGTAAGGTTAGGTTAGTCCTACAAGGTTTTTTTTCGGCCATTTAATTGAATCTTGTGAGTCACGATCTGACAGTTTTCCCGGTTTTTCTGAAAACAAATGAGAAAAAATTTACTCACCACTTGCTGTATTGCTTTACTTTCCTGGTCATTCAAATGGCTAAGGTCCAATTCAGGTGTCTCCACCGGTTCCACCACCCTCTGGTCCATCTCCAGCACCACGGAACTATCTTGAAAATTTAATTTGGCCTCGCGGCCCTTAAAAAGTCCATACCTAAAATAAGAGAGTGTTTAAGGAGGTGTTTTCACCACAAAAATTAACACTTTGAGATTTCCTCTTTTACCTGTATGTTTAATGAATACTTTCCCGATGCAGTGACAATGTGTTTCCTTGCGCCGCTCGCTATAATTTCCGTATTTCTGGTTTTAAAGAGTCGTATCCTATAAAAATTCTTTTTGAAGAACTTTTCACTCATGAAATTTCCTTTGCTCCTGTATCGATGAGGGCTTCTACTGGTACATCGCCAACCAGGACTTGTATAATTGGTAGCTGTGAGTTTTTACAATGATTGTATTTAGATGTCTATTTGAGGGTTTTTTCTAAAACTTCCGGGGTCTGGACCCTCCCTTTCACAGGCTCCTCTAGTCGTTTAAAGCTTTCCTTTCAATCTGTGTCTTCTGGGTACGCGGATGCTTATTTTCAAATTTCCTTTTTGGGCCTTGCCCTTCGAGTTTCGATGTGTTAGCTTGATATTTCTTTCCCCCATATGAGCGATTTCCATTTCTTGTTTCCTCCTTCCTTCTGGTACTTTGAGAATATGTTTCCCCTCTCGCTCTTTCCGCGATTCTGCGATTTTGAAACTTCACCGCCAATTCGAAAAGTTCCTGCAATGTGGTTGGGTTTCTAATTTCAAAGTAGTCTTGGACAGCGGGTAAACAATCTTGGTAATATTATTTCAATAATCTCCGCATCGGGTTTCTTGCCATACAGCATATCCGTTAGCTTGATTTTTTCGTAAAATAAAGTCCGTCAATTGTGCTGTATCCCGTTGATAAAAACTATATAGCTCGGCTTCCAGCCGTGCGCGATCTTTCACTATGGGGAAGGCCTTTACTAACGATTTTTTTGAAATTTTCAAATGTATACGTCGGGCTTCCAAATTCACCTAGAAGAAATTTGCCTATATTTTTCCACCCATAGCGCGGGCCTGTCCTCTTAGTGCTGATGTGGCAATAGCAACTTTTTGTCTTTCAGGCACAGGATAGAGCTGAAAAGTGGTTTTCTATACCTTCTAAAAATACGGACACCGAATTTTTTCCGTCGAAATAGACGTTTGGCTTGATGATGCTCTCAAAGTCTGGACCAGGTATCCAAATCCTTCTAAACTGCGTTGTCATTTCTTGGTGTTGTCCAGCGGCTTCCATCCAATTTTCGGCCATTTCAGTTCGATAAGTGTTCGGGCGCCAATATAACGTTGCGCGCCTCTAACTAGCACGCAACCAAGAGGTGACTGTGAAAGCTTGTATAAACCACAGAGTCTTATAAAGGGTTTAAGTCCCTTTTTTATCAACGTACTAATTTACAATTGCGTCCTCCTGACGCTTACAAACGGTGCCAACTAGGCAGTCAAAATAAAAATAATAACCTGAAAAGAAAAAAAAGACAAGATTCTAACTACGAGGCTCTCTAAAATAAAAACTAACTCACCGCGTTTTACAAATACCGCAGCTAATTCAGCAGACTTGAAGCTCACTGGAACAATTGCAACTACTTCCCGCCAAGCACATAGGCCGCAACGCGGGGTTCTTTAATTCTCGATTTTACCTCCGCGCTCGCTAAGTAAGAAGATAACTCTCTCACCGAACTCGTTTCCTTCTATTTAAATCATACTACTTCCGCTGATAATTTGAATGCTTGCGCGTTCTACTCAAATTTACATATTCTGGCATTGGCAGTTCCAGGGGAAAGTAAGGCTTGACAGGAAAGATAGTTTAAACTTAAAATAAATGTTAGTTAAAATAAATATAAACCCTACAAATTTTAACAAAGTACGTAAATCACATTTGTCGTTATTATCGCCTTTTAAGAAAGGTGCCAAGTTTCAAAAAGCACCAATATGTAAATTCACATATATCCTAGGAAATTTTGAATAAAAGACTAATTTTTTGAAGGTATGCTTAGAAATGCATCTACTTTTAAGATGATGGCAAAAATTTTATAAATCAAAATTTTTTTCGAAAAATTTATAAAAATTATTTGAAAATACAAATTTTAAAAACAAATCATAAAAAATTGGGAATTTATTTTGGAATGAACCTAAATTTTGAAATGTGAACGGTTTTAAAACCTCTAAAAATCTAAAATTAATTACTGTATGGTAGCCAATTACCAATCTTATACGCATCTGGTGAGATTCGAGACACGTAGCAAAAGAAATTAGAACACAAATCTTATTAAAATTATTAAAATGTTAAAAATCGCAGAACTCTGCAGAAAATTATCGAGGCTTTGATTGTGCAAGTTATTTCTGTTTCCTAACGAATTTTCTAATGCAGTTATTGTTTCTTTGGAAAACGTATAATTTTCGTCCTCCCTCTATTTCAGCGTTATGTTTTCCATCTGGATTGGGAGCTGTCACCTCGATAATTCAATTGTTAAACGAAGGAGATCATGCAATAATCTTCGATTCAGTTTATCACGGTAAGCATTACTATCAAAACTTTCATGTAACTCTTTACATGAATATTTTATTCTCGAGCTGCTGCGATAATTTTAAAATAATGCAATATAACGGGTGGCCATAATTAAACTGACAGTGCTCACAGAGTTCTGTAGCGCGATCTGTTTGCGAGAATGACGCCACATTTTGTAGGAAGATTAAACAAAACGGGGGACGAAGGATTCCGCGAAAAAACAAATTACTTCCAAAAGTCACCGCTAGGGGAATATTTGGCGCTGCGTAATAGAAAATAGAGTGTTAACAAATGCAGATCCATACGGAAATTACCTTATATTTTGCTTTCAAATGAGGTTCAATGTAGCTGCCGTTATTGTGGACCACATACTGCATTCTGTGCACGGTATGCACAACAGTAGAAAGTAACATGTCTGCAGGAATCTCCCGTACAGTCCGTGATATGTTATCCTTCAACGTAGCCAAGTCCTGGACCACTCCTTGATAGACCTTGGACTTAAGGTAACCCCATAACCAGAAGTCGCATGGGGTAAGATCAGGCGACCGAGGTGGCCATGCACTTGGAAAGTAGCGGCTAACGACTCTTTCTGTTGTGAATTTCTGTCGTAGCATCTGTTGCACCCGTACAGCAACATGTGGAGGGCTCCGTCTTGCATGAAAATGATTTCCCCCAGGCATTATCTTTTATCGCTTTTTTAAAAGTGTCGCCATATTGCACTTGAACTAAATCAGAAAATGTGCATAATAAAAGGTAATTTTATTCCGTATTAATTTGCATTTGTTAACACTCTATTTTCTATTACACAGCGCCAAATATTGCCCTAGTGGTGACTTTTGGAACTAATTTGTTTTTTCGCGGAATCCTTCGTCCCCCGTCTTGTTTAATCTTCCTACAAAATGTGGCATCATTCTCGCAAATAGAAATCTGTGAGCACTGTCAGTTTAATTCTGGCCACTCGGTATCTGTTAGCAGCAAAGTATGAAACTCTGGTATTCTATAGAATGCCTAAGTTACTAAATAAACTTCTGTAAAACGCTTAGTCCACCAGGAATTTCCTAGAATTCAGCATTTGCAAAGGCATTGTTGACTGTTTGCATTTACATGAATCCTACATGTCTACTTGAATTCTATGGTTTCTTGTCTACTTGAGTTTAATACTACTTCATTTTCATAATAAAATAATTTTCAGTTTGGAGTTTCCGTAAGCTTATTACAACTTATCGAAAAAATTACAAAGAAACGCTCAGATCTTTTTTTTTTTTTTTTTTTTTTTTTTTTTTTTTGGTTAATTTGTAACAGTTATTGTTACAAATTATCAAAAAAGAAAGATATTTCTCCCGCCTTCCTAGCGTGATTTCGTGGGGTAGTGGTCTGCACACTGGGCCGGTATGCATATTAAGCATACTGTATCGTGGTGATTGAACATACTTTCCGATGGCATTAGTTAAATGATATCGCGGGCTATAACTCGCCAGGTATGCCTCTAATTCTTGATTTTAAGGACATGCAGTTAAAATTTCCCAGCATTCAAACTACATATTTACATTAAAACATTAAAAGCTTACATGAAAACATCAGAATGTGAATTAAATTGAATTGGTATTATTTGATTTTGAGGAATACATGAACATAGAAATGCTAATTAATTCATACATAGCATCACCTTACATAATCTAGCCTTGATCAGTCTGTATTCACTAAAATAGTAAAACAAATTACATTTTTATTGAGAAAAATGAAAATAAATTTTAAAAACACTAAGCACAGAAAATTGTTTTTAATACAGAAATTATTTCTGGATTCAAATCAAATTTTTTCTTTACTGTAGGTACAAGAACTTATTTGAAAATATGTGAAGATACTGGAAGAGTGAAAGTCACGTTTGCTGATTTACGTGATCTCAAAAATCTGGAAAAAAACTTGAAGGAAAACACTAAAGTAAGACAGTTATAAGAAGAGTTAAGTCTGCAAGTACTGAACAGTACAGTGAGCAAAATAAAAATTAATTTACTTGATAATAAAATTTGTGAAATAGTAATTGATTAATAATTTTACAAAACATGTATTAAGCTATTTTACTTATGTAATTTTTAAATATTTGTTACCATCTTATTATTGTTAGTACCGAAATATATTACAGCGTTCAAAGAAGAGTAGGTGGCTTTAGTTACGGACATAATGAAGTTGACAGGTAATATTTCTGTCACTTCATGTGACCTATACCGAAATGTTTTGCCACTCAATTTCCTGTAAAAAATAATTAAAGCATTCGGGATTTTATGCGAAAATTTTCAGTGCGAAGATAAAATATAAGCATAATTATATACGTAAATAGTAGAAGTTTTAACAATTTTTATTGCAACCTGAGAAAAATGTTCTATAATAATAACCAATGCACAGTTTTATTCAAAGTGAATTTTCCTAATCTGAATTCCTACATATTGAGTGTGTTAAATTTCACATTAATAACTGTTCACTTCTAAACGTATTGTCTGCACAAGAAATAGGCTTCAAACAGAAAGAATTTATCTTATTCACGACGAATATTTTTAATTTGTTCGTATGTAACTTCTAATGTTAACAATAAGTATAATCAGATCATTCAGAATATATACATCGAATCTTACAGTTTCTAAATCAAAGGAATACACTGACTACCAATAAGTATTTGGACACCTGTGATAGAAAAGAAAAACTAATTTTATTCAAAATCAATAGTTGGTAGAGCCTCCACGAAAGGTAATTACAGCGTGGACCCTCCAGAGCATACTTTCCACAAGTCTTTGTATGACAGCTAGTGGTATTTTCTTCCACTCGGCTTGGAGAAGACATAGAAGTTCCTTCACCGATTTTGCACGGGTAGTGCACCCCTGAATTCGGCGGTGCAACTCGTCCCAGAGGTTATCGATAGGGTTCAGGTCTGGATTCTGGGCAGGCCAGTCCATTCCATGAACTCCATTGGCACCATACCAAGCCTTGGTTAACGTCGAAACATGACAACTGGCATTGTCGTCCTGAAAGTAACAGGGGTCCAACCCATAAAACTGCCACAACGTAGGAAGCACATTGTCATCCAAAATAGTGCAGTAGGCATCGGAGTTGAGCTTACCATGAATGGAGACCAAGGGTCCCAGCCCATACCAGGAGAAACACCCCCAGACCATAATTCCACCTCCGCCGAACTTGACTGTTGGCACAATGCATTCTGGCAGGAGACGTTCTCCAGGTAGAACCCAGACCCAGACTCTGCCATCCGAACGGTAAAGGGTGAAACTTGATTCGTCACTCCAAAGAACCCGTTTCTACTGATATACGGTCCAATTTCGATATGCTTTGCACCACATTAACCGAGCAACGCGGTTGGGTTTTGTGATCAAAGGCTTATGGGCAGCAGCACGACCATGAAAACCAAACAGATGTGCTTCCTTACGGATGGTATTCATTGAAACAATACTCCCGGATGCCTGTTGAAACTCCTCGCGGATGAGGGCCATCGGTTGGGTGTGGTTCTTCCAAATTTCTCTGGACAGCACTCGTCGGTCTCTATCTCTTAGTTTCGTTGGTCTGCCGACTCGGGGCACATTCCGATAATCACCGCTCACCTTCCACTTCTTAATCACATAGGCCATTGTCGATTTTGGGTACTTCAGATCGCTAGATATGTCCTTTAAGGATTGGCCACATTTGTGATACCCGATAATTATACCTTTCTCGAAATCAGAGAACTCCGAACTGCGAGGCATCTTGCATGCGACTAAAGTCGATGCTGTTTCCTGCACGATATATACCGGCGGAGTCCGTGGCGTACCTTAGGACCGCAGATATCGTCATTTGCATAGGTGTCCAAATACTTATTGGTAGTCAGTATACAAGCATCGAGGTAAAAAATACTAGATTCATTGTACACTGTTAGTCTCAGCTCAATTAAAAAAAATGTACAATTGAAATCTCTTATTCCACAGGTGTTATAAACGCATGATATTCGAGGCTAATTGTATCTTAAATTATTTTCTCGATATAAAGAGTGATAATATGCTACGAATATTAATCCGTATATCAGTGCGTGAAGCGTTTCGCGAAAGTGAAATGTTGAAGATTAAGTAAACTCATAAAATGAAAGCACAGAGATTTTCTACTAAAATGGTAGCAGCATTTATACGCCATACATATAAAACTGTGTAATAAATGCAAGGTAAAATGTAAACAACAACACGCGCTCATATCCAACATTTTCAAAGATTTAGCGTCGCAAGAGCAATAGAAGCTCGTTGATCCATTTTTGAAACTTCTTCTACAGTGGCGATACTGATGTGCACTTGTGAATTATGAGCCCGGGCACTGCTGAGCAGTACTTAAGCCCTTTGCACTCGAGGCCTTTTTCGCTCGGGCGAATCAGCAACTTGAGACGATTTTCCGCATATTTAGTTAATTTCTTGCAACTAATTTAAAATGATTTCACACACAACTGAAATAAATGTAACGGTTCTTTTATGTCTGAATATATTTGCGATCTTGTGGTTATTTCACGGGACAAAACAAACGCTATTCTTTGAAAACCGCATTCTTTGCAGTGTTTCTTTGGATTCTATGAACGTTATCAGTTCTGAATTCTCTCTCTCTCCTGCTGAATTCCTGTCGCTTTCATTTTCACTATTCTATTATATCAAATTTTCGCTTTCTTACACTTTTTTGCTTCATCGCTATCTTTTTATTGCTTACCTTCTCTGTATCGTCAAGTAGTCTATGCATATATGTAATTTCATTCTTCATCAACGAAAAATCGAATTCATGTTCATTTAAAGTGATTTCTTCATCATATTCCATGCTTATTGGGCTCCGTAACTTTGAAAATAATATCTCTATTATCACGACTGTCAAGTTCAAACTAATGTCGAAGTCGCATATATAAAACTAATAAAAACTTATTTAAGAGTAAAGATTGGCAGTTATTTTATACGCATGTATTGTTGAATACAGTCATGAAGCGATATTGCCCAATCCAAACCTAAATAAATATCGTTACCGCCCGAATTATCGCATTAAACCGAGTGGTGATCGAGAATCACCCCTCGAGGTCAAATCAAGTGATGACTGACAATTACCTGTCGAGCGCAAAGGGTTAAGAATTAGAGTGAGCTGTAAAAATATCAGTAACTTTTAGCTAATTTCAGAATGAATTTTGCACGCCAAAGTTTTAAATGCAAATTCTATTACTATACAAACAATGATAAATGATTTGACTACATTTCTTATTATTGTTTCAGTTGGTGTGGATTGAGACGCCATGTAATCCTACGATGAAAATCCTTGATATTAAAGGCATCGCAGACTATCTAAAACCTCGCAAAGATGTATTGTTAGTTGTGGATAACACATTTATGTCAGCGTATTTCCAAGTAAGAATTATTTTTCTCATCTTCATCATATTATTTCGCAAACTTTTGTACATTTGGTTGAAAAGATATTAACAGCTAATTAAAACTCGACTTTTGTGTGGCCTTATTTTCAGCTGAAATAAAAGTTTAATAAATAAAAACGGAAAACTAAAACGTCCGTCCGTTTTTGTTTATTAAACATTTTTTATGTGTTTTAACCAGTTAACTCTGGCACCCTCGTTTAAGAGTGCGCACCGTTTTGCGTCGGGAGAATCGAGCCATGACGAATATATTCGTCCATCACAGAGTAAGTTGCGCTGGTAAGATATTGGATGAAAAAGATGGGTTTATTTTATAAAATTGAAAATTTTATCACTAATATTTACGCATTTGGTTAACATAAGCATATATTACATACATATTAAACTAAAAACGCAATAAATTAAATTAAATATTATACATACAAAAGTAAGAATTTAAATTCCTGCTGTGGAGTGATATTCAGCGAAACAGAGTATACTATACACAATGAGACTTTGCAAATCGAACACCAGTAACGGGATTCCTTCCTGATCTTACGTTTGTAGCAATGCGAACACCTTCGCGTAGGGTTGTTTTATTAGTCCAAAGGAATTTGAATCCCGAAGGACTATTAGTTTCGTTTTGGCATTTTGCGTCGGACTCATAAATGTCGGTTCACTTTTCAAACTGTTGCCACAAAATGTTAGAGTCCTGCATTATATTTGAAGAAATTAAAAATAATGAAAATCTGCATAAATGTATGTATATTTCTCGTATTGTGATAAAACAACGGTACATAGAGTCATCAATCTCATCGAATTTTGAATAACGTAATCCTCCAACGAATATGAGCATGTGGAAGACCAAATTTGAAATTTGAAATTTGTTTTATGATCGATTTCCTATTTTTTTAAAACTTTGACGAATTTTTAATTAACAAACTCAAGGATTTCAAAGCGAGCAATGGCAACGTTGTGCAGAAAAAAAACATTTTTATCTCCAGCGCGTGAGTCTCTGTATCGGAAATTCTAAGATATGCTCGTTTTAAAAACTATTTTGCGATATTGCTGTTGCACTGGATCTTATGGTTTAAAGTGCGAGGAACATGATATTTAATAAAGAAAGGTAACACACAAAATGTTAAAAAAACGCCCCTTTGGACGTAATTTAAAATCTGAAACATTTCAGATTTTTTTTTTTTTTTTTTTTTTTTTCGATGTTTGTTCCCGATTATATAATCCGGAACACGATTCCCGCCTAATCGGCTTATATTAGGTCTGAATGGCCGAGTTTGTGTCGATTTATTTCTTTCAATTGGATACGTTGAAAAAGTGTCTTTAATAAATTTGAGCAAAATGTTGATACGCGCTCATGTTCCATTATTTGTTTTATATACTGTAAAGGCCCTTATTTTCGCGAGGCTTTAATTTTCGCGATTTTTGCGAGCCCGTCGTAATCGCGAACATTTAAGCCTCGCTAAATACTTTTTCTCCGTCTCAAATAATAATAAAAAATCAGAAATTTTTCACTTACCCAAAATTTAATAATTTATTGCACAGTTACAAGCTTTTTCTTGACAACTTTCTTTCTTATAACTATTTTTTGAATAATATACAACTATATTTCTCGAATATAAAACAATAAAATTAATAGAAGGCAGCTCATTCACTTAGAATACTATTTATACCAGCTTCTTTGAAACCATTCAAAATTATTTCATGTTTGGCTTCAATACGTGAATCGATTTTAGTCGTGATATTTTTAAGTCCACAGATCCTTTTTCCTCTAGAAATTAAAGCTCATTAGAATACCACTCAATAAACTCATTCTTGAGCAAACGCTTAAACTCGCCATTTAGACGGGAACTGGGGGGGGGCGAACTTTTCGGACAAAAGGAAGTTTCATAAAATGCTTTATGCAAAAGATGTACTTTTGGAATTTTTCAACTTTACTTAAATACTTTTGAAATTTTTCAACTTTCGGTTCAGTTCATATAAAATCGCGAAATTTTCAACTCGAGAAATCACCGATATATATTAATTTTCGCGAAAATAAGGGCCTTTACAGTAATATGAATGCATTCAGACACATAATGTCTAAAGAAAGGGAGAAATATCTTTTTGTAGTACTTTTTGAGTCATTTTCTTGGTGTGGAGTACGCTATGATCATTCCATCGCTCCTATCCACTCCAACCATTTTTTTATTATAATCAATGACTAGCTCCGGTTTCTTTGTTATTATTTTTCTTTTCTCTGTTTCTATTACGTTGCTTCATACGTTGCTTACACTGATTTATACGCATCGTGCCGCTTCTCCATGACAATACACAAAATCGTGCCGCTTCTCCATGACGAGTATACTCGTCAATCACAGTTAACTGGTTCAAACTGCTGCGTAAGATTTATCCTAAGTTTCTAACAGTTCATTTTTTAAGTTAAAAATTCCTTTCCTATCCATCCTAATTTCAGCCTACAATTTCCTACCAGATTTTTCTTTTTTGAATCGCGTTTAATGCAAATGAGTAAGAGTAGTATTTAAGTGAAAGTTCCACTGACCTCGAGAGAGAGCTTCAGAGTTTCTGACGAGCGCGCGTTTGTCTTTTGGCCACGTCTCTGTAAGCTGTTACTACGCTCGGGCGTATTACGGGCCCTTGATAGTTTCGCTAGCTAATTCGATATTTAAGGGCCAGCTTGTTAGATTTGTGGTAGCTTCAGCTACATCTCTTTAGTTAAGCATTAGTTAAGTTCGTATTTCTCACATTTTGAGTTTAAGCCTAAGTGGAGGCTTTGTTGTACGCCCTGAGAAAGGGGCCGACTGTCAGATCTTATTTTGAGAAATAAAGGGTAATTAACCGTTCGTGAGTTTTACGTTTCTGTTACTGAACTTAAGCAGTTATTCGCTTAGCGGTTCACAAGATTCCTCCACATTTAGTTTGTTAGATATAAACCCCACAGGTGTTTTATTAAATTCTTGGAACACTTCAAAAAATTCATTAAATGTATTCATTAAATATATTTGATTGTGATTTTTGCAGGCGAAGCTCGCTATAGTGACTATAACAGGGGTGGCCAACCTGCGGCTCGCGATCCACATGCGTCTCTTTGAAGGATTACTTGTGACTCTCGATAAATGTACCCCAGTTTCCTTTTCATTTTTGTGTTATTTAAAAAAAAATTATCCTTCTGTATGTGTTTCAAAATGTCTTTTAAATAATAGATAATAAATATGAAAGACTAAGTGCAACGCTGTAACAAATTTCATTTCCTTCCATCGTCTCTTGATTTTTTTTTTCTGAATCGATTTGAAATTAACATAATTCAAGGAAAGTTTTCCATTTCCAATACAATTATGACCCAAAAAGCATCTGGGGAATTAGAATTAATAGAGATGCAAGAAGATCAAGCTCTACAATTAAAATATAAATCCACGTCGATTACTGAATTTTGGAAATTTGTGCCAGAATCGAAGTATCCTGAATTAAAAAAGGCTGCTTGTCGAATTATTTAAATATTCGGAATGACGTACTTATGTAAATCATTTTATTCCACTTTAAAATTCGTGAAATCCAAACACCGATCAATATTAATTACCAGCATCTCAAAATTACTGAGAAAGTGCTGTCACCAATTTTTCAAACCAAATTTAATTACGAAAAGTAAAATAATGGTTGAACTTTTAATAATAAATTCAATACATATATTGGTTCTTTATTTATATGTTTCAATAATAATTTCTGTAAAATTTTTTAATACCTTTAAATACGTATTTATGGCGGCGCTGAAGAAATTCGAAAAAAGATAATTTCTGTAAAATTTTTTTTAATACCTTTTAAATACGTATTTAATGGCGGCTCGGAAGAAATTTCAAATTTCGAAAAAACGGCTCGGACTATCAAAGAGCTTGACCACCCCTGGACTATACGGTCGCCCAGACGGTATATGGGAGCCTGACTTCAATACTAAAGGACCCGGGTTCGAATGCCGGAGAAAGTAAGGATGTAAAATTGTGTGTCCCTTCATAGAAGGTAATCGTGGCCGCCTATTAGGTGCTTCCACAATAAAATAGCCACCACTTCTGGTCTTAGTAATGGCTACCGCCATTGGAGAAAAGAAAAAAAAAAAGTTAACGACTATACCACCTCCATTCATTCATCCACCCACCCACCTATCTATTTATCTATCGAGATTAAATAATATATATACTTGAATATTTTTATACATATGCATTTTTTTAAATATATTTTACACAAATTCAAAAATTCCTCATTATTTTTGCTTGACATTAAGGTAGACGTCAGTAATCAATTAAAGTGTAACGCTTTGTTTAAATTGTTGTTGCTTAAAAGTGAATTTTTTAAAATAAATAATAATAAAAAAATTACTTAAACGGGTGATAGAATACTATTACAATCAAAAGTCTTTAATCCGGACGTCCATAATCCGGAATGATCTATAATCCGGACCTCGAAGCTACAAACACTCTGCGCATGCGTTATCGCAAAATACCTTTACGCATGCGCATAATACGTTTACCCATGCGCCTTTAATGTAAAACGGACGGTATAAGCTAAGCTAAAATTATCAATTTCAGTTAATGCTGCAGATTGCGTTGTTTCTTAATCATCAAATTGGATCCGGCTTATTATTTTTTGCACACTGTTAGAGCAATTTTATAAAAGTAAGCTTGAACTTCGATTATGTCAAAAGAATTTTCCGAATCTGGAGCTGCCAAAGGAGTCTACAAGCGAAAGCATGTTTTTTCGATGTCCATCAAACAAAAAGTGAAATTGCTGCAAAAAATGGATAAAGGCATATCCTTTGTTCTCTAATCATGTTCCGAAATCTGTTTATCAATTTCACGCTGCTGGCAGGGGGGACGTTGCGGCGCGCCGTGAAATGGAAGTTGATCTGTCAGCATTATCCTTAGCTTTCAGAGCAGATGTTTTTTATTAAAATTTTTTATTAATTTATTCGGCTTATAATCCGACTAAGTGTAGTATTTCATCCTCGATGTACCCCGTCTTTGAATATGATTTAAATCAATTCCTCATCAGTATAAATATCACGAATACACATCAAATAGTTGTCTGGATGCAATTTTTTTAATTTCGACTATGCGTAATGTACGCTTTTACGCATGCGTTGCGTTGAAAGAATGTTTAAGAAAGTAAAAAAATAAATATTAACCTTTTTTTTTTTTTTTTTTGTAAATTTTGATACCCTTTAGATCATAATGCTCTTTATTTTTCATAATTACGGTTTTCATATTTTTAATTTTAGAATTTCTGCATGCCATCTTACCAGATTTAATCTGATGATCTATAATCCGGAAAAACCGATAATCCGGAATCGCTGAAGTCCCGACGAATCCGGATTAAAGACTTTTGACTGTACATGAATTCTAATGATTTCTTTTTAAGAAGTAAATAACGTTGTTTTGCTTTATGAATTCTGCATTACTTAATTTATTTGAACAAGTAAAATTATTTGAATCAAACCTAATTAAATTAAAGATAAGATTATAATAACGTATCGTATACATATTCTTCTGTATCGTATGTATCGTACATATTGTACATGGGTATAATTTTAAGGTTAGAGTTACATTATTCGATGCTGCTTCAAAAGCCTACGCATTAAAAAACTTTAATACGTTAATCAATTTATGAAATTTAAAAAATTTACTTTTCTTACATTCGTTTAGAATCCTGTAGTGCTTGGTGCAGACATTGCTATGCATTCACTGACAAAATACATGAATGGTAAATATCTTTTGATTGTTAATTTTATTGCTTTTTGATGCTTGTAAATCAAATAGCCTAATTCGCATCTAGTATTGGACTTGATTAGCTTAAGGTTAACATATTATTTCTAAACAACTGTACAAATACAGTATGTTTCTTGAATGGTTGACCTATAGGCTCAAAGTTCTAGCTTAAAATACAAGATAAATAAAGTAAATTTTAAGGCTACAAAACGTTTGGTCAAGTATCACCCTTTAGGAAATTTCTTGCCGCAAAGGGCTATTAATTTCGTTTTGGCATTTTGAGGCGTTTCACTCTTCAAATTGTTGCCACCAAATATTAGAGCCCTGCATTATATTTAAAGAAATTAAAAATAATGAAGAATCTACATGAATGTATGTTTCTCGCTCTATGAAAAAAAAACGGTAGAGACATCCAATTTTGAATTACGTAGTCCTTTATTCGGATATGGGCATCTGGAACCACAAATTTGGAATTTGTTTTATTATCTATTTCGTATTTTGTAAAACTTTAACGAATTTTTGATTAAAAAACTGAACGCTTTCAAAGCTATCCATTAACATTAACGTCGCTTGCATCTTCAAGCACGCATATTTTATACGAGAGGTTTCTTTACATTTCTTACTGGTATTACGTTGGTAGCGTAGCAACGCAAAGACGTTACGGTATTCTGCGTCGAATGACTTTGAATGTCTGTATCACTTTTAAAATCTCGTTTTGAATCCCCCGTGAAAAAACGCCCCTTTGGGCGTAATCTAATATCTGACAGGTTTATATATTTATATATATATATATATATGTGTGTGTGTGTGTGTGTGTATGTGATGTGAATGTACCGGGCTTTAGGGACTTTTAAATTGAAACAGGTTTAAAGAAACAGGAGAATTTTATTATTATTCGGAAAATAGCAGTTTTACAAAGTAATATCGCGGAGTAAATAATGAATTACTAATAACTTTTTTTATGAAGTTTACTGCATCGTGCATTTAAGAAAAGCCACCGATATTCCTTTTGCGAATCCTTTTATAGCCTCTGGAAGGCGGGAGCTTCCAAAAATGACGTCAGCCAATCCAATTCGTTTAAATATCTCCAGAAATATTCTATAACTGTACGTGTAGAAAGGCGGGAAAACAACTTGACTAAGGGCTGTGGATTTAATTCCACTACTTTTAAATAAAGACCGTCGCCATTAAAAATGAAAAGAACATACAGTTAGAATTTTAAGTGTATTCTTGACTATGGAATTTTGTTATTACAAATATATATATTTCGAAGCTTATTAAATTTTAAGAGTCTTATCCTTGAAAAGAAAATTCCACCTAATAAGTTTTATCGTATCCAACTATAAAATAAAAAGTAAGTAAAAATATTCACAGTAAACAAAACCGAAACAGGTTGTCAAATGCCTAAAAAATGTGTATCAAAATTATGACTTAAACTAGTGAATAGAAGGTCAATAAACATTTCTCGGTCAGTTTGAAAGCCATTAATTTTAATCATACGGTTTTTCAGCTGATAATTTGAAACCTATGCTCACGTTTCTCGAACGTATATATAAATCCTGGATTCGAGCTTTAATAACAGCCGAATATTTAAAACCTAAGCGTAAAGAAAATTAACATACCAACTAGGTAAGCAATTAAAATACGATAAACGGGTGATAGAAGATAACAAGAAGATATAAGATAGGTGACAGATAACAAGAAGAGTCACAACCTTAAAATTAAGATTAAGAAAAGTAAAACAAAAATAATGTTACGCGAACATTTTTTTACACAGTCATGGTATTTAAAAATAAATGCATGTATTAAACAATTACCTAATTAAAGCAATATTCGTTATTATAAACTGCATAAAATATTGAGAAAGACATTTAATCAAATTAGCAATGGATCATGTTCGAACTGTACACACCGACAAAACCCAAGATCAATATTTTATGGAACCACGTTTTGCACGGATAACTGCTCTGATTCGTTTGGTCACCGAGTCTACATGCTTCTAGAGTGCATTTACGTCCGTGCATCAAATGAAAATCTCAAAGGTTTCTAATTCATTGGCCAGTGTGTGTGTGACCTATTATCGAGACTACAGTTTCAGATTCGTCCTTAAATGTTCTGGATGGTCTTTGGATGGCCTCAAAATCTGACTGAGTTCGAGAGAGCAAAAGATCTCAATTCAAATCGAATATCCTCTCACTTTTTTCCAATAAAGCATAAATTATACTATTAGTGTAACAAATGCAGCTGTCTAATTCTTTTTCCATTCGCAGGTTACTCCGACGTAATTATGGGTGCTATGGCGACAAACAGTGAAACAATTTACAAAAAGCTGAAGGAGAACCAGAAATGTAATCATGTATTTTGTTATTATTTGAAAATGCAGAACGTTAACTCCAAAGAAATGTCTTCTTACCTGGCCTTTCGCCACAGTTGGCTCTAGACACATACTTCCTATGACAAAAATGTTTTAAATGAGTCAAAGAGCCATGTTTTTGCATTTTAAAATTAAAAATATTCATTTCCGAAGCTCACTGATGTGTCGTACGGTGCGTTATTAGTAACTTCTTGTAACTGAGTTGCTATAAAGTTCTTTTTGTCCTCCTAGAGTGCTAACTTTAAATCAATAATTTTTTTCTCAAACGACGACAATTTTGAAAAAGTACACAACAGAAAATAAAGCCTACTAGGAATAATACGTATGATTGAAAAGTCTACATAAAGAAACAGATATTAATGGATGAATACTGTAAAGGCCCTTATTTTCGCGAGGCTTTAATTTTCGGGAGCCCGTCGTAATCGCGAAAATTTAAGCCTCGCGAAATACTTTTTTTCCCCGGCCTCAAAATAATAAAAAATCAGAAATTTTCGCTTATATCCAAATTTATGATTTAATGCACATTACATACAAGCTTTTTCTAGACAACTTTCTTTCTTATAACTATTTTTGAATAATATAAACTATATTTCTCGAATATAAAACAATAAAATTAATAGAAGGCAGCTCATTCACTTAGAATAATTTTTAACCAGCTTCTTTGAAACCATTCAAAATTATCTCATGTTTGGCTTCAATACCGTTTAATACACGCACAAGCCAAGAAGCGTGAATCGATTTTAGTCGTGATATTCACAAGTCCACAGATTCGTTTTCCTCTAGAAATTGAAGCTCATTAGAATACCAGTCAATAAACGCATCCTTGAGCAAACACTTGAATTCGCCATTTACAGTTAAGTCCAAAGGTTGGAGCTCTCCTGTGTAGGAAGTGAACACAAAAACTGGAATAATATTCCTCTTCTCTAGTTCAGTCAGAAAAAGAGGTTCTTGGTGTGCCTTAAAAACGTCGAACAATGCTACACCAGGTTGTTCTGGAACTATCCCGAGAAGCTCTCTCTGCTTGTCGTAATAAGGTACAAGAATATTCTCCGATGTATCGAATCATTGTGTCAGTATTACTCCAGTGCGAATCGGTGTGCCACACGTCCCAGTCCGCGGGAAATGTAAACTTTGGATGACAATTTGTTGTTTTTCCAGCGAACAACAATTGTGGTGGAAGTAGGTTTCCAGCAAGGGAACATGCTAACAAAACAGTCATCTCTCTTTTATCTTCCATGCCGATTACAGACACTTGTTTTGAACCACGTTCTTCCAATGTGTAATTAGATGTTAACGAAAGTTAACGAACATCTCAGGGGGAACAACATTTTTGTTGATCACTGTACGACCATGCTTAACGAATTCGTCGCGAATAGCTGGGAAGTCTGGGGACTTTTGGAATTTTTCAACTTTCTCAACTTTACTTAGGTACTTTTGAAATTTTTCAAGTTTTGGTTCTGCTCATATAAAATTCGCGAAATTTTCAACTCGCAAAATCATCGATATATTCATTTTCGCGAAAATTACGGCCCGCGAAAATAAGAGCCCTTACAGTAAATAAAAAATATAAAGAAGAGTTAAAAGCAATTTTGTTTTAGCACCACTATTAATATCGAAATGCACTTTTTGTCCAATTCACTTTTTAAATTGTTGCCACCAAATATTATCGACATGTATTATTTAAAAAAATTAAATGTAAAATTAACTGTGAAAAAAATGACTGCACCTAGAACCACCAAATTTTGAATACCTACAGTCCTCCACCGAACTATGTGCATCCAATTTTTTTATTTATTTCATATTTTGTATAAATTTAACGAAATGTTATTGAAAAGCTCAACCATTTGTGTGTATTTGTTTACGGCAAACCTCTCTAGGGCTATCTACTTAAGGGGAAGGATACCTTCGTGGAGGATTTTCTAAGGAAAATGAAAGGAAGGACTGTACGTACGTCACGAAAATATCTGTTCTGAACCGATTTTAAATCATTTTTATAACTTTTTGTGTAGGAAAGCGTCCTTTATTCTGTCCATACGTACAAATGCCACGCAAAAACATCGTTAAATTGCATTCGATAGCGGTCAAAACGCATATTTTCGTTAAAATATGGTATTTGGAATTTTTCGTGATTACAATACTTCTTTTACTTCGTACAAAGAAGCAAAAATCAGCTAATATTTTAATGGTTCAATGTTTAAAAATGTATTTTTTTAATTTTAATTTTAACCATTATAATATACTTTAAAAACTGTTCAGAATATTTAAAAAAGCAATCAAATTCGTATAGTTTTAGCGTAGATTTCGGTTTCTTATTTGTCAAAATGCATGAAATGAAGCTAACTGATGTTCACGTTTTATTTTTAACTTAAATTGGAATTCAATTGTTATTCAATAGTCATGAGAATTTTGGCTATATAATTAAAAATTATAATAAGCATAAAAAGCCTTTACCATTCCTAGTGACTTTTCACTACGCTATTGCTGAAACTATTACGTCACGTATATTATTTGGAAAACTCCGAATACAAAAATTATTTCTCTTTAGCTATAGGTAATTTACCCTCGCCTATGGATTGCTTCTTAGTTCTTAGAGGGCTAAAAACTCTACATCTGAGGATGGAAAAGCACGCTGAAAATGCTTTGCAAATTGCAGAATTTCTAGAACGTCATCCCAAAGTGGAAAAGGTTTTCTATCCCGGTAAGAATAAATAGTATAAAGTTTTATCAACTTCAAATTTGAATAAATCCGCAAAAGAAATTACTTCAAGAGAAGTTGGAGAAATCATATAATGGTTTAAAAAAGAAGTTTGGAGCATTATATAGTAAATAAATTACTTAATGACCCAAAGAAGATTATCAGCATTGTTACGAATGAGATACAGTCCGATGACCTCATTGATCACGTGACTTATGAATATCGGCTAGTCTTTGGAATATGGTAACAGACACTTTCGCGACATTTTGGTTAAGCGATAAAGGTTACTAGCTAGGACTTTAGCAGTGTACATGGATAAAGTCAAGAGTCTGCGCAATGCCATTTTTGTGCAATTCTGGGATGTTTTTTTAAGTGGAAATAGGTCGACGTGTACATGGATGATACCGTGTATGTGCAATTCTTAAAACGCAACGGCAAGCAGTGGGCGATTCTGCACTTCTTTCTCCCTCCCAATTTTCGCACCTAATCTTCGTCATGATTAAGCACTTTTGTTCCGTAAAAGTTCTAGCATAAGCGTAATTCGGCTAGCAGATTGTTGGGAAAAAAATGTTGAGGGGGGAAAAAAAAATGCCTTTACTTCGTGAAAACAAAATGGCGTCCAAACAAAAACTAGTAAATTGCTGTAGCAGGGTTGGTCGCCAAATTTTCGCCAAAAAATCTCCAAGTTACCATAATCCAAAGATTAACCTGAATATCTTTTATAAACAAACAATGCAGATGACCTCAGAGATCACGTGACTTATGTACAGCTAATGCAAACAAGCAAGGTCATTCTTCCTCTTCTTCTCTTACGGAATGTATCTCATTCTGTATTTAGATAACTAATGTTAGTACAATTATAATTAAAACTGTTTTATTTCCCCGTGCAATGCAGCGCGAGACGAGTTTTAAGAAAAAGTTATGCCGGAAAAGTAAAAATACAGAAGCACGTGCATTTAAACATTGAATAAAAGTTTATCTCGGTAATTTATATTTAATTTGAATAAACGTAATTGACTGCTATGTTAGCTGTAACCGTAATTATACTCTTTTGCTTTCCAGAAATCTCGAGAAGCAGAAATTACTAGAATCTCTGGCGACCGATTTAAAGCTATAAAAAGCCAGACAGAGAACATCTCATCTCAGCTGCTGTTTAGTTAGCTACTGCTGCTATTGTTGATCGGATTAGCTTTCTCTGCGATGTGGATTGCGTTCTTTTCAACGTTTTAGTAGATACAAATATTAGCATTTGCATAGGTGTACAAACACTTATTGGTAGATAGCGTATAATTTTTCGGAAGTTTGATATACGAGTTATCGTGGGTGACAAAATCGTCACATACATACAGAGACACACAGACATTGTAAAAATAGGGGATTCTAATTCGAGCTTATTCACTGAAAATTCACTATCGAATATTCGGCTTACTTCCCATACCTTTCGCGTGAAGTAAAATAATCAGACGCAGAAGAAAAATGCAGTATTTTAAAATGAGTCATAAGATGTACTATATACGGTAACAACATCGGATGGACATAGTGAGTTTTGAAAAAAACTGCTGTATCTTTAACGCAGGTGTTCCATTGATGAAACAGGTTAAATACATTTTTATTACATACTACTCTCTCTTTTTTTTGCACTCTTTGCTGCACACTGAAGCACATTTTTCTTTTTTAGGTCTCGCAAGTCATCCTCAGCTTGAATTATCCAAAAAGCAAAGCAAGGGATTTGGGGGCATGGTTTCTTTTTGTATCAAAGGTGGCACATCTGAAGCCATGTCTTTTGTTCAGGCGCTTAAAGTGTTCACGCTAGCTGTCAGTCTAGGTTCGGCCGAAAGTTTAGTGGAAATACCGTAAGTAAAATTTCTTTGTAAATAAGCAAAATTTTTGCTTCTTTGTTTTTTTTCTTTTCTTTTTTTCTTTTTGTTTTTTTTATTTTTTTTTGGGGGGGGGGCTGTGGAAGTTTTAAGTGATGCCTAATTATTCTGCTAAAATACAGCGGTTTTATATTTTAAATTTAATTTTTGATTCAAATTAAATTAAACTTTGAATAAAGTTGAAAATTTTCTTCCATTTAATAGTTTCCCGCTAAAGAAATGCAAAATTAAAAACTTTATAAACAATACATCGTACTATTCGGTTTTGAGGGCCGTAAAAAATCACCAAACTATTGTTGATGCCAGTGTTCATTATCTTGCATGGAAAAACATTGGCACGTCATTTCAGAAAATGTCCGATTTTATGTCCAAACACCTATGTTAGAACAGTGCTATATATAAATTTAATACATATACTAAGTCGCGCTTTCGAGATATGAAAGACGCAAGTTGAATTTTGTCAATCGTACAATCAATTTTCGTACAATCATTAATTTATAAAGTTTAAGAAACTTCGCTATTTTGATGAAATAAGCTCCCAGGAAACTGGTAGAATTCTTAAACGATGCAACGATTTACTTAGAAAGTTTTAGAAACTGCTGCGGCTTTTTACTATGAAGATTAAAACGTATTTAAGGAATAAATGAGAATCCTTGTATCAGTACTTTTCCCACACCCTTACGTACCCCAATTTTTTATTATTTAATTTTACATTGTAAGGTGTAAGTTAATTTTATAACAGTTATTTTAATTTTGAAACCCTTTCCTTTCAATTCTTGTTTCCCTCTTACAACTCCCTACCAGAATGAGTTTTTAGAATTGCGTTGAATGTAAATGAGTTAGGAGTAGTATTTATTGTAAGTTCAACTAACGTCGATAGATAGTGCTAGGAGTCCTTAGTGGCACGTGTTTACCGTCTGGCTAATTCATTACTGACACTTTAAGGGCCTATCACTTCTATGGACGCGCGCGGATGGGTGGGACATTTCCGAGAAAAGAGATTCTAGTAGCACTGCTTTAAGCGGGAGGCTTCCGAGAAATGTTTCGTCTAGCTAGGCGAACGATTTTGACACTTTTCCGAAAATGTTCCGTCTGAAGACGTGTTCCGCGTACGTTCAACCAATCAGACGAATGTTCTGCTTCTGAAGGATCACGGGTAATTTTCAATATGGCGATGGCTCTCTTTGTGAAATCATAGACGGTGGAAATAGATGCCGATTTAATTGAAAAAATACGGAAAAAGCCGTATATATATTGCCGTTTTATTGTCGTATAACTGTCTAAGTCATTTTTAAATGTTTGTATATTCATTAAATTTAAAATCGTGGAAAATTTCAGAGTAGACAATATTTTATGACGTGCTATTTCTAATGATTTGTTTACAAATTATTCGTCGCCAAAAGTTCGCCAAATTTGTCGCATTTCGGGCTGGTCGTGTGAAAAGAATGTTTTGTTATATTGTAAAGATCCTAAGTTTACTAATATTTACGTTTATTTTATTTTAAATCTTTACTATCACTTCTTATTTTCTACTTCCGGCCAGAATTAAAAGCTTTAACTTATTTATTCAAATTTGTCTTGCTAACGCCAAGTGCTTAAGTTGTGGCTTTTTGCCAAGCAAGAGAGAGGAAGGAGTTATTAGAAGCAGGCCGCTTGCCATAGTAGTTTTACTCGGTTGCTGGTTGCCTTCAAGGCCAGAGGTTTAATCCTCTTGATAATTTTAAACGGATCATAGTGTTAGCAGCTCTCTGTACTACATACGAATTTTGTTAAATAACGGCCAATCTTAAGGTTAGGCACTTGTATATTAATTCAAAGTTAGTTTTAGTTAAAAGTTTTAGTTAGTAGTTTTATATTCTTACTTTCAGACCACAAGTGGTTGGTCTCTGTATTCCGAAGTCCGGAAATCTCTGTAAAGATAGAAAAATAAAGGGTTTCGTATACCCTTCCTGTGTGTATTGTCTACTTCACGATTTATTGAACATAGCTTTAGTAAGCTCCCTGTTCCGAGTCAGGACAGTTCATGTTTCCAAGGCAAGTAAAGAGGAACACAAGTCCTGATAATATAATAGCATTTTTTTAATTAAGGAGAATAATTTTTTAAAATATGTTTGTATATGCGCGACTTTATTTTTCTGCTAATTACTTTTATTACTTTTAAATTGAAATTGCATATTCAGCGATTATGTATATTTATTAAAGCATAGATTATTTAATAATGAGGTTACACATTAAATTTGTATGTTATTATCTTCATGTTATTAATCATATATATATATGTGTAATATATTCAGGAGTAGGAATTTTGACTGCGTAGAAGTGTTGATCCATAATGAATAGGAAAGGCAGATTTAAATCTTCATTTTTTATTTTAGCAAACGTGTTGCGGCGACAATCAAGTTGGCACATTAATTGTGCCTATTCCAAGAGATATTACATTTTAGATAAATTCGCAATAAGAAAGAAAGAGTAGACAGACTGCAGTGCGGCCAGGTCAAAGGTTGGCACGAACGCATGCGAAGAAAGCGGGAGAAATATATGTTTTTAACCACCAAATTTTCTTCTGTAAAAAATCAATCAAACTTTATTCTGCATAAGAGCATTCGATGCAATAACAACTTCGAAATAGCCTTATATTATAATAAATCAGGAGAAGTGCCCGATTTAAAAATACCTTCATAAATTTAATAGCGAATGAAATATTGATTAATTCGAAATCTACAGCAGTTTTTATGTTATAAATGTTTGCTTTATATTGTCGTGATTCGATATTTTACAGGTCGTTGATGACAGCCAGTCCTTTGAGTAAAGAGTTACGGAAAGAACTGGACATCACAGATAACTTGATCCGTATGTCTGTTGGTTTGGAATCTGCAAAAGACTTGATAGAAGACCTCGAGCAAGCTTTAGATGCGGTTTAAAAGAAAAATGTTCATTGTTTCCTCTTTTTATTTGAAGACGGTTTCTGAATCAACATCGTGTGTTACAATAAAGTTATTAATTACTTGAGAAAAATGACTGCATTTCATATTATGAAACTTAGGGTGGGAATGGTTTTTTCATAGTTAACACATCATTATTTTTTTATACTTAGGATTACAAACATTATCTAAATTTTGATGATATTTAATTTCCTCTAATGACAGGAAATTATTTTGTACGCACAAATCTGGAGAAATGGGATTCTTAGTTAACATATTGTAGAGATATTAGGCATTTTTTGAAGATGTTTGCCTCGTACCACGGACCTCTCGAATACGCGTCGAGCGTGCTGACCACTACATGGCATGCTAAAAAGGCGGGAGAAATACCTTATATACTCCCCCCTTTTGAAAAGCGACTGGAGATTAGGGGATCCAATCGCCAAATCCTGATGGTGGAGAATCATCATTTACCACCCTTTTAGTTCGGGCGCCAGTGTAGAGAGATTGGGCATTTTTGAAAGCAGGAGAGAGGGAAAATGAGCAGTGCCTTCGCCGGGACTCGAAACATGGACCTCTCGAATAACGGTCAAGCGTGCTGACCACTACACCATAAAGGCATGCGCAGAAGGCTAGAAAATACCTTATAATATCAACTTCAACATTAGTAGAACCTTTCTTATATTTGATATCAAAATCATACATATATAATTTTAACGACCACCGAAATAGTCTTCCTGTAGGATGTTTTACGTTATTAAGCCAAACGAGAGCAGCATGATCAGTATGTACGGTAAAATGGTTTCCATGTAAATAGTAATAAAATTTATCTGGGGCATCTATAATAGCTAAACATTTTAACATAATTTTTCTCTTAAGATCTTAGCTTTCTAGAGTGGAAGTCTATAGGGTTTAAATTACCATCTGGGGGCTCTTATTTTAAAATTGCACCAACAGCTTCTTTAGACGCATCTGCAAATATATGGCAAGGACATTTTGCTTTAAATAAACTTTAAATGGGTCTGGAAATTAAAGAGTTTTTTTTTTAATTTTGAAAGGTCTGGCATTCAGGCATTTTTTTATACGAAGCGTATTCGGAAACTAAGTACCTTTTCATTCTAGCGCCGTCGCAGCGCTGTGGTAGGCGTCCCGCGCATGCGCACTAGTCTTTCTTGTTCACTGCCTTTCAATTGTCGCCATTTTGGTTGCTCTATGTTGTGTTTTCAGTTTGCTGTGCACATTAAAAATGTTTAAGACAATTAGTTCTCCCGCTGACTGTGAGATTCGTGCCATGATTAAATTTTTGAACGCGAGGAATCTTAAACCGGCCGAAATTTATCGTCAAGTGACAGAAGTTGACGGTGAATACGCGATAAGTGATGGAATGGTGAGAAAGTGGGTAAGAATGTTTAATGCAGGTCGAACAAATGTCCACGCCGAGGCTCGGAGTAATCGGCCTTCTGTTGTCACCGATGATTTGGTAAGGAAAGTTGATGAAGCAATTCATGAGAACAGACGCTTCACAATGACAACTCTTTCAGAGGCATTTCCACAAATTTCACGTACTGTTTTGTTCGAAATTGTGTCTGACCGCTTGAATTATCACAAACTGTGTTCCCGATGGGTTCCAAAAATGCTCACTGCTGTTCACGAAACAAAGCGACTTGGTAGTGCCCTGACATTTCACACGCGGTACGATTTAACGATTTAATGAGGGAGAAAACTTTTTAACCAGATTGTGACAGGTGATGAAACTTGGGTGTGTCATTTCACACCAGAATCGAAACAACAATCGATGGAGTGGAGACACACTCATTCTCCGAAAAAACAAAAAGTTCAAAGTGACAATGTCATCACAAAAAATCATGTGCACCGTCTTCTGGGATAGGAAAGGCGTTTTGCTTACTGAATTTCTTCCCAGAGGTGAAACCATTAATGCGGCACGATATTGTGAGACTTTAACAAAACTAAGACGTGCCATTCAAAACAAACGAAGAGGAATGCTCAGTAAAGGAATTGTGTTGCTCCATGACAATGCTCGGCCCCCTACTGCTGGTGTCACTCAATCGTTAATTCGGCAGTTTCATTGGACTCGCATGAAACATCTTTTTTGAGTAAATTTGTAAGTGGGTTTCTAATTCTTGCATAATTTGGAATAAATTTATGGTACACATTAAATACTGCCAAAAAGTCTAATTTTTCAGTATTTTTAGGGGGTTATAATTTTTTAATAACTTCAATGTTTAATACTTTCCTGCTTGAATTTCATATCCTAAAAATTTGTTTTCCCTTTTGCGAGGCGGCATTTTTACAGTGATACACTCCAGAAAAGTTTATCCTGATTTTTAGGGGTGTACTCCGACCGCGCTAATGAAAATCCCCCCCTGGGTCGAGCTATAGTCCAACTGCGCCAATCAAAATTTCTTCCCCCTGCTGCCTACAGGGTTACAATTTAACTTTTCGAAGCCAATTGTAGCCAAGAGGAAAATAAAAATAATTAAACAGAATTACATATCACAAGAACAAGTAAAAAATATCTAACAGGCAGGCTAATTACTTGAATAACAGTAATAAATGCGAGAGCTAACAAAGAAAATAAAAGGTATTGGTAAACATACATATTAGCATTACAAACGTATTTCATTTATTATAATAATATCATAAATTAAATAATTATAAAGCATACAAATTAAATTTTTAATAATTACATCAATAATAGTCAAGATGTCTGAACTAGACTGGAAAATTTAATAGAGTTCACTAGCGTGCAAAAAAATTATTACCATATCAAAGTGGTCTTAAAGTGTGCTAAAAATATTTTTTTGTTAATTAAAGTAATCATGTAAATGTTTGCAGAAATTAAATTTAGTTAAATTATAAAAAAAGCCTTAGCATGAAATCTATTATAATAACAACATTACTATGCATTTGGAACACTAGACGTATAAATTGCAATTAGATTTAAATTAGTTATGCTAAGAAGTTTTTGCTAAATTTATCTATAAGAAAGGAATTATGATAAACAAGTACTGCAAGTTAATAATAATCAATCAGGCTTCCCAATAAATAAAAGTTTATTTTTTTAACCAAAAATTAAAAATTGGGATACAAAAGTTTGAGTAATATACTTGGAAATATCTGAACATATAATTCATTAGAAATGTATAATTAAATTAATAACAAGCTAATTAACAGTAACATTAAGCTTAATTTCATTCAATCTAAAACAAACAATCGATCAGGAGCTCCGCATAACTGAAGTTTTAATGCTATTTTACGTAGAATTGCGTATGAAATAAAAGTTGCACTTGTGAAACAACTGAATAATGTACTGATATTCAACAGGAATTAAATTACAGTGGCTAAAAATATAACTACTTGTCAGAAGGTATGCAAAGTTGCCATGGCTAGAGAAATTGAATGATTGTAGAAAACTCATATAAAGTTAAGCGTTACAGTGTGAAAAGAAAATTCTGGAATAAACATGTTAAGAAAATTAGATGGAGAAATAAACCTTAATTTATTGATATCCATATAAATTCTATGCTTTTGGAAAAATGTTACATATAATTTGCACAGAGGTATCAATCACCGAAACCGAGTTAATTTCTTTCCTTATTTTTTCTTATTAGAGGGATTTTTAAAAAGATATGCTAAGGTAAAGGTGAAAATTTTTGCAATATTTTTAAAGAATAAATTAAAAAAGTATTTTTACTTCATGAACTGAAATTTTTACGCTACATTTTTACACAGTAAATAAATACAAAAAAAAAAAAAGAGCTGGAGGATCACTGAGACTAGAAACTCGGGTCGAACTACCAATGTTTAGTGACTTTTCCGCTTGATCATAAGACCTTTTGAAATTAGGCTGAACAATATATTAAAGAAAATAGAAGATACAACACACGTAAGAACAAAAGTGGGATGAATTAGAGATTTACATGTTTAATGAATGAGTTAACTTACCCGTATGCCATTATGAAATATTAGGAATTTAAAAGCATGAGTGAAGAAGGCAATGGCAATCTAAATCATTGTAATCTAAATGTATAACATTATCAGTATCTACTATTAATTTCAATATTGCTGAAAAAATTGTAAATGAATTATATTATAAATCACATGAACTCGTTGCATTATAAATTACAACAGTTAGAAATATTATTAGCGTGATTTAGCGACCATCTTTGTTAACAAATAATTTCAAGTAATTAATTTTACAAATAATTCAGGTTGAAACTAGGTTAGAAAATAAACTACATGCTGAAGATTAAGCTTTGCCAAGGTGTTAGAAACATCTTCTGTTAACTAGAGTTGTGATGCAAGAATTTGTAAAAATTATCATTTAAATATAAATTGGCATAAATGCAATACAAAGTATATAAATTCTACATACATGAAAACGTGAGTACAGTGCAACAATATGTGAAAAAGGAATGGATTAAAAGGGAACTGAAAATCCCAGCATATGAATATAAGGGAGTTTGAATTTTTTTTTTGTTACTTATGAAAATTCTGCTGACGCTCATAATTATTAATTTATAAATTAAATGTGTATTAGAAATTAAATGTATGCCAAAGTACATCTGGTGTAAAACAGAATAAATATTTAAACGTTTCTAGTACTAAAATATGGAATTTGTAACAAAGTTAAATAACCTTAAAATAACTTCAATGACAAAAAATGGAAAGCTTAATATGGGAATATATTGCAATAATATTAGTGAATTTAGAACGACTTAAGAAGTCCAATTTTTAGATTTAATAAAGAGAATTTTTTTAATTAAATTAGAACTGTTTACCTAAAATGGTAAATTTGAAAGTTAAAACCATTCTGCTATCTAAGAAGATTTGTTAATATTTATCTAGACAAGAAACTTATTTAAGGTGAGCTACAAATCCGATATTTGATAGGTTGATTATGTATCAGTTTTGTGTATGTCATTAATCTGTCAATTTTACTATTCAAAACTGATATATTATATATCAGCGACTAAATTCTACAAATTGAAAAGTTTTTAATTCTTACAGAAAATAAAAAAGATCTGGCTCATCATTCCTTTAAGCATTATAAAACTTTAAAATGAGTGTTAA